ACGGGCCACACAGCCAAAGCTCTGGGACCTGAAGCAGCCCAGAGCCTGAGTTCGTCCCCCAGGCAGCCAAGACCCACCCCCCTTCAAAGGCTCTGCGGTCACCCACCCCCAGGGGCTCCACAGTGGCTGGGCGGGGTAAGAAGCTCTCCAGGCTGCGCAGTACGGCCTGCACCTGAAGGCAGGAACCTCGACCTCACCCCTGCCTGGTGCTGGCAAGCCTGAAGGGCAGGACTAAGGGTGCGGAGGCCTCGCAGCTGCTCAGCAGGGAAGGGAGGCGCCCTGGACCCAGCGGGATGGGAAGGCCTGGGCCCTCAGCATAGCCCCCTCCCACCTCTGAGAGCAGCCCCTGGGAAATCACGGCCCCCTCCCAACGCAGGTGGTGGTCTCTCCTTAGGATCTGTAGACTTGAAGGAGAAAGTCACCCTGCTCCCCAGTGCCTCCCCGCTTTGCCTCCCACGCCTCTGGGCCCCTGGCAGGACAGCTGGAAGTCCATGTACCTCCACCCCCACCCTCTCCCTGTACCTAGCTCCCAGGTTACAACACAAGGGCAGGGTGAGGAGGCCGAGCTGGGGGCGGGCCTGCGAGGGGAAAGGGGCACAGATCCGGAGGAATATAAAGGGCTTTGGCAGTCCCAGCCAGAGGTCCCATCCCTGCACTGCGCTGCACCTGCCCAGCGCCATGGTAATGTCTGCTGAGCCCTGTCAGCTGTTCTATCCAGGACCTTCGGGTGGAGGCTGGCACCAGATGCCCCTCCCCAGGGTGTTAAGGGCATGAAGGACTGAGGTCAGGGCACCCCCCTCTGCTAGTCTGGTGGCCAGGACAGCTTTGGGGTTTTCCTCTCCCTGCCTTGGGTGGTGGGGATGAGGGGATTTTCTGAGACAGTTGAGTCCTCAGGGGCTCAGGGCAGGGGCGGGGTTGAATCACCTTTACCAGCTTCCTGGGATTTGAATTGCTCTGTGTGCCTGGGTGTGTTTGCACAGGGTTCTGTACGCATGGCTGGGGCTGTGGATGTCAGTGCGTGTCATGTGTTAGCAGTCCTTCACCTCACATGTGTTATTTAGCACCTGCTGAGTGCCAGGCACTGTCCTAGGTTCTTGGGACACATCAGTGCACCAAACAGGCACAGAACCCAGTTGTAATGGTGCTCGTGTGGGCAGGGGCCACTTAGGAGGGAGGAAGGCAATTTAAAGCAGCATAGGATGTAGGAAGTTAGAAGGTGCGATGGGCGGGGTGGGGGAGGAGCAGAGCAAGATGAAGGGACGGGTTGCAATTTTATTTTATTTGTGTTTAAGGATTTTTTAACTTATTTTTAGAGAAGGGGGAAAGGAGGGAGAAAGAGAGGAGAAACATGATGAGTGAGAGGCAGATAGGTTGCAATTTTAAATAGGGGCGTCAAAGTAGGACCCCCTGGAAGGTGAGTTGAGGCCTGGAAGAGCCCGGGAAGTTGGCCTTGAAGATACCTGGAGGAGGCGTCTTCACTGAGAAAACAGCATTCTTTTTTTTTTTTTTTGAGGAGCAGCCAGGGGGCAGAAGAGGCTGGAGTGGGGTGAGCGGGGTTATGGAAGAGATCAGTGAGGTTAGGGGGACGACCCACAGCTGTAGACCTTCCCTACGTGCCTCGGGGTCCATCCCAGGTCTCGATTTTCCTGGTGCTTTGTGCGCGTCACTGTGCAAGTGCGGGGGTGCACCACCCGGCCCCGGTACCTGATGTCCCTGACGGCGCGCGTGCACCTGTGTACACCCCAGAGGCAGATACCACCCTGGGTCTCAGCGGCCAGGGACCCCTGCTCGCCCGCCCTCCAAGCCTCGGAGAGGCGGGCCTCACTACACTGCCCCAGACTCGCTCTGCTCCTTCCCCCTCCAGACGCCGGCTCTGCGCTGCGCCTGCGCACTGGCCCTGGTGTGCCTGGTGATGCTACTGCAGGGGCCGCAGGGGGCCCTCGGGGAGGAGACGCAACTGCAGCAGCCAGGCGGGCTCAGGGCGGCCTATTGGCTGAGCACCTTCGGCCAGTTCAACAAGTACTTTGAGAAGCTCTTCCACGGCAGGTAGGCGGGCGGAGAGCCGGAGGGAGGGAGAACAGGGGGCGGGGAGGGACAGGCGCCACCTGCCCCCCACACCTCGCCGCTGCGCACGTCGGCGCCCCACGACCTCTGCTAAGACGTGTTCCCCAGCTCCAAGTCTAAGGACACCAAGAAATCTAAAGACGTTAAACACCCCAAGAAAACCGCGAACAGCACAAAAATCCCATCAGCGAACACCACGAACCCCCCTCCGTGGAGCCCCGCGAGATTCCCCCCGTGGAATTCCACCACCCCACCACCACGGAACCCCGCGGACCCCGGACCGTCGATTTCCTCCTAGGGCCCCAGGTGGCACCAGTCAGGGGCCTTGGAACGGGGGTGGGGGTGGGGGTGGGGGCAGAACGGGCGGGAGCGAGAGGAAGCCCGTGGGGGGAGGGGTGCGAGGAGATACCAGAGCCACGGGGTCTTCCTTCTCCTGGCCTGGCTTTTGCCTCCAGATGTCCCGCTCCAGTCTGCCCGCCCACCGACCCCCTTTATATTATGAGAGGGCCCTACTCCCCCGCCCCCGTGAGAACAATAAAGAGAAATAGATTGCCTATTGCTTCCGTGACTAATGTGGGCCCTGGACAGGAAGGGCCCTACTCGCCTGTCCTTCAAGGGAGAGAGCACCCTGGAGCTCCCGCTGAGAAAAAGACCTGGGCTGCGCGGGCTTGTGCCTCCTCCCCGCAGCCCGTGCCCCTCCCCCACACACATGCCCACTGCCAGGGGCTCTAACCGAGAGGGAGAACAGAGTGACAGTCAGGTTCCAGCGACCTCGGAGGAGGGGCTTCAGCCAGACGCCGACCCCAAGTTTCCACACAGAGCAGGGTGGCCTCCCTGAGGGCGCTGGGAAGTCGGTGCTGGTACAGGAACCAGCGGCTACAGCGCCTCTGCCCGCACCTTCCGTGCAGATCCTGAGGGGCTGCCTTTGCCTCCTGGCCCTCTCAGCCCCACTGGAAGCGAGCAGAGCAGGGGAAGGCGTGGGAGCCCAGCCAGGCCTGTCTCTGCAAAGCTGGATGGGAGGGTGGCATTCGCAACTGGGAGCTAGCAGTTAGCCAGCGTGGAAGCAGATCCAACTCACACGCAGGTGTGTCCTGAGCGGGGCCCTAATTCCTGACCCTGGGACGTACCTACACCTCTCCCTACCCAGTACCCATCCCCTTAGTTGCCAGAGAAGATTCTGGGGTGGGACTTCAGCCTCCACCGTCCAGACCCAAATTCTGATCTTCTGCTGAAGCCGGCCCTGCTCCCAGACAGCCCTTGGACTTAAGAACCAGCCTGAGGCCTGCATTTGTCTGGTATCTGCATGCTCTCCAGAGCTTTGCCTGGTAGGGCCTGGTCCCACTTTCAGGTCATTGGCATGCACCAGCCACAGCCAGGACTGGAGGGGAAACACAACGTGGTATCATTGCCAGGGGGTCGGTGTGAGAGGCTGAGCCCAGGAGAGTGGACCCCTCTGTCCACCAAACTCACAAGCCCCATCTCTGTAGACAGAGCACGTGGGGCAGGCAGGAGGGGCCATTCCAGGAACCAGAGAAGTTCTAATTCTCTCACTTCTTTCTCCCCCCACCACCGTCATTATTGCTTATCCACAGGTGCTCCTAGGCCTGGAAGAGGGGAGAGAGACAAGCTCCTCCCTCCCAGTCTCTCTGTCTCTGTCTCTGTCTCTCTCTGTCTCTCTGTCTCTCTCTCTCTCTCTCTCTCACACACACACACACTTATTATGCAGGTGCCTGAGAAGGGCCCAGCTGTTGACGGCCCCTGGGATCTACGGGGACTCCTCAGGGCAGCCTCCTTGGAGCGGGACCTCTTCTGAGCCCGCCCAGCGCTGGAGTGTGGAATGGGCAGATCAGCCTCCCCGCTGGAACTTGAATCCCCACAACCAACCCCCCTCCCCGCCACATCCCGCTGTTTGAATAGCTCTTTTGCCCAGGAGTTCACACCCTTTCAGGACAAGTTATTTCCAAGTTTCTGGCTCTTCAAAGGTATGTCCTGTAGTCACCTAAAGCTGCCTTCCAGAGACCTCCCCTGGGCCTGTGTGTCCTCCCTCCCTCCAGGCTTGAAGACAGAGCACATTATCTCCCTGCTCCTCTTTCCAGCACAGTCCTGGAAACTGCTGGCTGGCTGGTGGCTGCATCACAAGTCTGCCCCTCAGAAGCTTCCAATTCACAGCACGTTGACTCGGGTCAAGAGCCCTGCCAGAATTTTGCGTGCATTATATCATGCCGTGCTCTCTACAACCCATTTCACAGACTCGGAATCCGAGGCTCAGGGAGGTCCTATCCCTGCCCAAGAGCACACAGGCGGGGGGAGTGGCAGATCCATTTGGGCCTGGGCCCAGCTGACTCTGACACCCAACATTGGGTCCCTCTGTCGGACTGTCCTCTGCTCTAGGACCTCGGACCAACTGCTGGACCTCTGAGAGCCCTGGCTGCCTCCTCTGGAGCAAGGATACCAGTTACCACCCTCATGGGGCTGCTGACTGGGCTAAACGCCCCTGGCACACAGTAGGCTCCTTTTCTGGACAGTCTGCACAGGCTATCATCTCGAGACCCCTCCCCTTCACTGCCTCCCCTCCCCCTTTCCCTCCTGATCCTTTGGCTACTCCTGTCCCCACCAGAGGTCCACAGAGAGAGGCTCCATCTTTGATTTGCTTTATTTAGCCTGTGTGGGTGTAGGGCACAAGCTCTGGCCAGAGCCAAGGGTGTGGGGGCAGAGTTGGGCCGGGGCCTGGCCCTGGAGAAAGAGGAGGCATCACATGTCCGTCTGGCCCAGCTCCCTGCGGGGAGAGGGCAGAACACAGCAGCCTGAGCCAGCGGTGCTCACAGCCCAGGAGACCTTAGACCCACCCAGGGTCCTTGTTCTCCTCCCCCAACCGTCACTCACCCCCACACCCATATCAGCCCCAAGGAACTGGCACACAAGACAGAGGACCAAACTTACCTGGGGGCAGCTCTGTGGGGGGCCCCCCACTCCAAGTTCTGTGCGTCTTCTTCGTCCCTCTTCCCATACCTAGGAGGGGAGCGGCAGCTGGGGCAACCAGGCACTGTGCCAGGTGCCAGACCACCTGCCCCATTCCTGCCCTTGGGCACCATGCTGCCAGGGGCCCAGGGTCCGGGCCTGGTCAGTGGAGAGGTTCTGCTCCCCCAAGAACTTGGAAGGGGAAGGAGCCGGGGCCTCGTGCCCGATCTCACACGCACCTGGGCCTGGTCCGCATGTTGATGTACCTCCGGAGCTCTTCTGCGTACTTGGCCATCTGCTCTGGCGTGGCATTGTCCCCTGGGTACTCTGGCTCCACCAGGGTCCCACAGTCACCCAGTGGCGGCTGCAGCAACAAAGCCACGCAGGCGGACAGGAGCAGCAGGGAGAGGCAGTGGCGAGCGGAGGCCATCTGAGGGGTGAGGAGGGGAAGGGGATGTGGAGGCGGAACCGAGCCCACCTGCCCAGCCCCTTAGCCATGAGGCATCCCTCCAAGCCTGGGGACGAGAGGGCAAAGCAAAGAGGCGCTGGACCCGACCACCCACCTCCTTTCCAGTCTGCGATTAGAACAAGGTAGAAATGGGGGAGAGGCCTCAGGGAACTGGCAATGTGGAAAGGGAATGGAGCCCTGGCAAGGGGAAGCCCACTCTCCAGCTGGTGGCCAGGAGGCAAAATTAGAACTGAGGTGCCTGGGTTCAGGGAAAATGGGGGTGCCAACTTATGCCAGCCACTTCCGAGCCCCCATTGCAGGGAGTGATAAAAGCCGGCATCAATGGTAAAGCCTTGAGTTCTCCCGAGTGCTCCCAGCACAGTCGCCTCGCTGAGTCCCTCTAACAACCCATTTTACAGACTCGGAAACTAAGGCTCAGTGCTATTAAGTGCAACATAACTAGTCGGTGGCAGATTCAGGGTTTGAAATAAAGTCTAACTTCAAAATGGGGACTCTTTTTCAAAAGATCACACAGCTATCTCGGACTCAAGTTCTGGCCTACAGTCCAAACCCCACTGATCCCCGCTGCCCACAACCCCCACCCAGGAACCTCCACGCATCCCCGGCTCTGTGCCCCTTTCCTGCCCCAGGCCAAGGAGCAGTAAGCGGCTGTGTCTGCTGGACACACAGAAACCTGAGAAGGGAGCAAAGGACCACTGACTCCTGATGCCGAGGTCCAGCCACAGCGGGTCAAGGGGTCCCACAGGTGAGGGTAGGCGTCGGCGCTGGGTAACAGACGACAACACGCCTCAAAGAACAGTGAAGCTCTGTTCCATTTATTGCAAATACAAGCAGGTTTTTATATTTTAATTTTAGGTAGTGATTAACATTTGCAGGTGTATAGCATGATCAGTTAAGCAGAAAAAATCAATACAAAGGTAACCAGGAAAAGTACAAGAATTTCCATAGTTTCAATTATATTATACAAAAATTGTTTTGACTAGGAGAACCATTAATCAGACAATTTGAAATAACTCTATGTACAGAGTTTGAATATCTGATTGTTTATTAAAGGTCTAAAATTTGGCATGAGGCAAAAGGTACGTTAGACCGAGCAGAGGTTAGGAAATTTATTATAAGGCCTTCGTGATGTCTAACTTAGCTATTTATCTTTCTGTCTAAAATGTTTCTCTATGTACTATGAACTTTAACTCCTTGGTAATTATATCTATGTGCTTAGTTTATAGTATCTAACAAGCTTCTCCTGTTTCTTTGCCTACTAAATTCTAATTAACATATATTCCTGTTCAAGGTAAAGGAGGGGCTGTTACTCCAACAACTTTTAGATATTCAGGGGCTATTTTATTAGAGGGGATTAACTTGGGGGAGCGCTCTGGGTAATTCTGGCTCCCTGCTGCCTAGTATTAACTTGTCCTGCATCTGCTTAACTGGGTCAGGGAAGGAAATACTCTTCCCCTTGGACTCACTGGACATTGTGGGCCTTTCCTCCTCTGGGCCCCCAGAGAGGGTATTATTTTGGGGAAAGGCCAAGGTGGCATAGTTCTCAATCTGACCTAGTTGTTGATCAACTCTGAGAATGGCCATCATTTCTAGGAGATTCCAAATGATCAGAAAAGTAAATGTCAGAATACCAAGAGACAGCAAGAACAGAATCAACACTATATATCCATTTATGCCTCGTCCTCCAGGCCTGAATATGCTTCTTTGAAGCCATATTCCCCACACTCGGACTTTGCCAGACAGCATGGTTGGAGCTGGAACTGGACGTGGCAGGGGAGGGCAAGAATAGTATGGGAAATACAGAATCTAAAGAACTTGAGACACGTGGTCATAAACTAAAGGGGGGATGGTGGGGGAGGGGTGTGCAGGGTGGAGGGGAATGAAGGGGGGAATAGAACAACTGTAATGGCATAATCAATAAAATATATTTAAAAATAAAACAATAATAAAAGTCCACTTATTTTTCAGAAAAGAAGGAAAGAAAGAAAAAGGAAAGGGAGAGGGAGGAAGAAAGGGAGGGAGAGGGAAGGAAGGAGGAAGATAAAAAGGCAGAAATGGCAGAATGCAGGAAAGCTGTCATCAGGAGCGTCCAGTTGTCCCGTCCCTGGAGTTATGGACTCAGTACTTTCCCATCAATAACAGGTGGCTGCCTGTGTCCATCCAGCCCCTCCAGAGGTTGAGGTCATACCATGTGACCCCCCCATCCCAAGTCTCATTGGTGGACTCCTAGGGTGACCCAAGGGCACCAGGCAAACAAAACTCACTCCTACCAGGTATGATTCCACAAACTTAGAGATCCTCAGACCTCTCTCTTTGAGCAAGGTCAAGTTCTCCACTACACACACTGCTCTACAGCTGAATAATATCCCAGTGTGCGGGTAGACCGAGTTTTATGTATTCCTTCAACCATTGGCAGACATTTGGATCCTTTCTGGTTTGTGGCTGTTACAGCTGATGCTGCTGTGACCACCCGTGTCCGAGGGGCTGTGCGGACACACCTGTTCATTCTCTAGGAGCGGGACTGCTGGGTCTACGAAAACTCCCCGTTGAGGACCTGCCGAGGGAATGGACAGTGTCAAACACGACAGCTGGCCGCCAGGACCAGACACAGCAAGCTGAGAATCTCAGATGAGTCCCCTCCATTACTGGCACTCTCTCTAAGGCAGACTCTAAAACCCGAGAGTATGCCTCCCGGGCCGTGAGCTGCTCTCCCGGCGGTGGGAGAGTTGAATGAAATGTAGGCCTCCTTCCTTGTGCCATAATAAAACCATCAATGAACCCCTTAGCTGCCAAAGACACCAAAATTATTCCGGTAATTCCGGATGCCATTCCAAACGTCCCTCAGGCTGCTGAGAAACTTAGCCGCTGATCAAACAATGTGGAGGCTGGACAAACTGAAGTTCTACAAAACCGTGAAAACGAGTCTGTGTAGCTCCACTGAACTTGACTGAGAAGTATTTCTCCGTCGAGGAAGATCAAAATGTTGTGCCAGAAACTACCTCTGAAGGGTATGTGCTCCAAGTTCAGAATAGCACCCGACATCTTTAGCTTCTTTTAAAAAACTAATTAAGTTATTTATTTTTAGAGAGAGAGTAAGGGAGAGAGAAAGAGAGAGAAACATCAATGTGTGGTTGCCTCTTGCAGGCCCCCCAAAGGGGACATGGCCCACAACCCAGGCATGTGCCCTACCTTGGAATTGAACTAGCGACACTTTGGTTGCAGGGCCGCACTCAGCCCACTGAGCCACACCAGCCAGAGCTAAGAACTCTTTTTCCGAGTGGTTTGTGCAACAGCAGGGACGGACCTGGAGGGTATTCTGCTAAGTGAAACGAGCCACTCAAAGAAAGACCAATACCATATGGTTTCACTTATATGTGGAATCTAATGAACAAAATCGACTAACAAACAAAAGAGAAACAGACTGAAAGACACAGACAACAGACTGACAGCTGTCAGAGGGGAGGAGGTTGGGGGCGGGGCAGAAAAGGTGAAGGGGTTAAGCAAAGGGAAACAAACCTCACAGACCCACCACAGTGCGGGGGGGTCACCAGACGGAAAGGGGGTGGGGCAGGTCGAAGGGGGTGAAGGGGGATCAGTGGTGATGGAAGGAGACCTGACTTGGGGTGACGAACACACAATATACAGATGATGTATTATAGAACCATAGGCCTAAAACTTATATGATTTTATGAACCGACGTCACCCCAATAAATGCAATTTAAAAGTATATTTGTAAAATTAAATAAATAAAAGCAGTTTGTTATCACAGCAATTTTTACAACAGAACTAGCCTTGATCCGTTCCACACTGCACATACTGTATGAAGAAACTCCTCTGTACAGGTCTCTTATCTCCTTGTGGAATTTCGTACCTGGCCATGTCCTACAAATAAAGATTAAATTGCACTCTTTTCATTACTTAAAAAAAGAACGAGGGTGGCCTTCTGAACTGTCCCTCTAACTTCACAGAGTAACACATGCTACAACATGTATGAACACGGTAAGCGAAAGACCACGCGTCCCATGGTGGCATTTACACGGTATGTCCAGAACAAACATGTCTGTTCACAAATGGTGCTGCTGGTTGGCTGGGGCTGGGGGAACTGGGAGGCGACCTCTATATTTAAATGTTTTTTAAAGAACCTTCAGAATGTTCTAGAAGTGATTGCGGTGATAGGCACATAGTCCTGTGAACATCCCAGAAACCAGTGAATGGCACACTAAGTGGGTGAATTGTACAGATGTGAATTAGTCTCCAAAAAAACCTCTTTTGAAGCTACCAGAAGAGGGACTTTGTGGCATCCACTGGTGTGTCCCCAGCGCCTGCAATCCCCCCGTTGGGGACAGGTGCTCTGTAAACACTGTGCGACAAAGATGTCAGGTGACCCTGGGAACTGAAGCGGGCCCCCAAGGACTGCCAGGCTGGAGTTTTCCAGGCTACTGGCCTTTGCAAAGACAAGAGCTCTTCCCAGAGTCCCGCACCTTCACTCTGCTTCCAGAGGCGAGAGGACGAGAGGTGATGGGTGAGGCCACTAAGAAGATGAACACACCGGGTCCCAGGCCTCGGGACAGCCCCTCCGGCTTCCCAAGGGTTCCCCCAAATCATCAAAGGGACACGTTGAGACTCACAGACTCAAGGGCAGTGAGGAGGGACCCAGGTCTGTCTCCTTCAGGGGAGTCTTCGGACCTGGGGAAAGGGGTACTGGACCCTCTGACCAAGCTCAAGAAGGAAGGACCAGCCCAGGTACTGACTTCCCCTTTCTCTCTGAGGCCCCCTCATTCCTTCCCAGGCACCTTCAGCCCCAGCTGGGGGGTGATTTGCCCTGCCCCCCCCAGCCCCCTTCAGAATGAGCAACGAAGTAAAATCCACTCTCTGATTCTACATATTCTGTTTCTCAGGCAAGACAGGGAACCTGTGTTTGCTCAGCTAACCCCAGGCACCTCGTCCAGTCCAGGCACTGG